CTCTCCATGAATGTAGTTTTTTTTTTTGCAATCAATCGGAGTCGTTCAGATAAAATATTTTACGTTGTTGATTGTCTACCTAATATTACCCGGCCCAGGCCCGGGCCCAGGCCCAGGTCCTGGCTTTCGCCCTGAGCATGGGACGTAAGGAAAAGTTTCATTTAAATAAATTGTGAGGATTTCATTGTCAAAAACATAAATTAATTGTGAGGATTTCAATTTGTGGATTATAATCAATACTACATTTGAAGGATCATTTTATTTTGAGTGAGAGCGCCAAGCTCCTCATTTTCATGAGAGAAAAGTTATCAAATTCATGAGTTTCATTGGATTCCATTTCAAGATAGAGAGAGAGTGGGGGTTCCCATAAGTGACTTATAAATAGAAACAACTCCAAACAATCAAATAAGACAGGCGAGAGAGAGAGAGAGAGAGAGAGAGAGATGTTTCAAATTCAAAAAAGTAAGTGAATAATTGGAGAAAGGAAACTCACATTTGATGTGTGACATGGTTGTGAAGGGAGGAGTAATAGAGTGATGGGTTAGAGGACGAGGACGTGGTGTGTGTCTCTCTCTCTTCTGTGGAATAAGAGCCAAAAAGCGTGGTCCTTTCCATGGTCACGTGGTTTTTTAATGCATATTTTTTCATTTCAAAAATTTGAGCGTCGCCGAGACTTATTTATCATCACGTATATATTTCAAAAGCTTTTTTTTCTATTTCCCTATGGGTTTAGTTGCCCAGCATCTTACATCCCCAAATGAGAGTCTTCCCAAACTTATAAAGGATTTGGTCCAATCAAAGTGTTAGCTAAACTAATTGGAGAAAACAAATTTTGATGCAATAATTAAGTTAAAAAGATAATAAAAATTTATCTCGAAATTAATCAAATATTAATTTTGATAGATTTTCAATTAAAACATTGGATTCTATTATCAAGATAATCTGTTCAAGAATGAGAATGTAGGATCTCCTCCCCCCGGACTGTGGGCGTGAGGAATGGGCCCAGGTCCCTCCTGTAACGTGCAGAGATTCACAAAAAGACATTCCACTTTTTCATGATCGCAGAGGCAAAAGTATAATAAGAAGCCAGATTCATCAACAAACGAAACACCCCATTAAACTTCCCTCTACTTTGTTGAATTTCGTGTCATTTTATTTAACTTAGCATCGAGGAAGTAGGTCTAAAAAAAAAAAACAAAAACAAAGGGGGATCGAGATTGAAAGCAAAATGTCAAACGCTACGTTGTATTTGGGGAAACGTGGAGGCATTTATATTACAAATTATTATTGGGTTTGGTTTTTGCTTTTGCGAGATCATAGCCATGAATCATGTTGATATGTCATGGAAATCGCTGGCATGGCTGCCTATCCTATTTGTTGTTGGTAAATGACGATATTACCCTCCATCCATCATCCCTTTGACACCAAGATTGTTGGGCTTAAACTCTCAATAAACCATGAGCAATAAATATTAGGGTAAAAAACTCTCATCTACTAAAAAAATCATAAGCAATACTGCCTCAGGATAGAATCACATTGAATGAAAGTGCCGCGATTTTCAAAACATGGAACATATTCCAGATCATTGGCGCTCCTATGTTTTATGAAGAATTGAATTGAATTGTCTAAAAGTAGGGCATACGATCGACTGGTTCAAATTTCAATATACAAGTTTTTCTATGTTTTTATGATCATGATGTTGCAAAATTTTGGTTTTAAAATCGAGCTCCGAAATGGATCTGTTAAAGCGAATGAATGCACTGGAGGAATATGTGGATCCGGAGACGCACAATGGCCTTATAGGGATTATGTTCTCAATTCTCAGTGAGGACATTATTTTAGGGGCATGGGGATTTTAGAGCAGAAGACTTGACCGGCACTGCACTTTTTGTTTGGATCGCAAAGTACATGGATGGTCTGAATCTCAGCTTCGAATAAAATAAGAGCATGGCCTTTTCACCTTTTAGTCTCCAACATATATATATATATATATTTATCGCACACAAAACAGACTTGCTTTTATGTTAGAGGCCTCAACTTTTATTCTAATACCATTCTTTTATGGATTTGAAGTTGCGAATAGGAAGATTCGGTTGGAAGACGAACATTTGGATTTTTCTTGTCTCGTGGAAATTTTAGGTAGTGTCGGAAAGCATTCCATTAATTAATCACCTTTACCAGTATAAAATATGTTTGTTAGGCAAAAGTAATATAATTATGGGGTCGTGATCAATGTATGTATAGTTCAATGTCCAATTTAAAACATTCCCTCACTTGGGGTTCGAACCACTCCTCAACATCTTTGGCCTTGTTAGGTCAAACGGTTTCCTTTATATAATTTGTAAGTTTTCAGATGTCTCATGCCTTGAGCCTTCTTTTTCAACACTCCATACACATCTTACATTTTAAAATATATTTTTTGCTTAACAACAATTAGTTGGGTTTTGTTTAATTTTTAAACATATTTTTCCTACTTTTTTTTGGTTTTTTTGTATTTACTCGGACTCGGGTGAGTACTGGACTGGGGCATGGGTTGAGAGTAGTTGGCCTGAATCAACTTTTCGATCACTGCCCAAATCACTGCAAATCTCTTTCCTCCTCAAATCCATGTTGTTAGAGCTCGAAAATAGTAGAGTAATTGAAATTTCGGGTCAGCAAAAGTACAAATTAAATTATTTTTAAGGTTAAAAAATTCATTTACTTTTTCATTCATGACCAATCAACGTCGTCGAATTTTGGATCGGAAATCTGTCTTCAAAACGTATTTTAGAAAGGTGGACTCATCGTAATAATTTCAGCCTTGGATGCACCTAAAGACTGGCTTACACTCCCAGTTCCAACATGCCTATAGGGAGGAAAATATGTCTGCAGATTCTTTGGCCAAGGCAGTGGTCTCTATGAATGAAGCAATTGTGTGGTGTGCTCGCCGGCCCACTTTGATTTTGTAATGCCTTACATTTCATGTGATGGTTCTAGTGTTCCCTTGCTAAGGGTTGTATAAGACATGTTTACGTAAAAACTCTTTTGTTTTTTTAATAAAATGGGTTTAGGGTCACCCAAAAAAGAAGAAGAAGAAGGAAACTGTGGTGCATGATACACATAAGAGGTATCCACGTTGCTTTACAAAGACAATGGGGGAAGAATGCAAGTAGTTACTTAATCTCGTGTGTGACATTGCATTCACTAGGTTTGTGTGTCACAAATGGTGTTCACAATGAACAGATTGGATATGTTGAAAATCAAAAGGGTTTACAATTTGGGATAGCAAGCGTTTATTTTGCTTTCAAAGTCCTTAGAGAACCCGTGATCTGATGTACTTTAACTATAACTTGTTTGGAGATGCACATTGAGGTGATCTCCAAGGGTTGAGATTGATCCCACCCTCATTCTCTTGTGAAAACCAATAGTCAATATAAGACATCAACCCTGACTCACGCCCACCCCAATTGAATAATAGAGCCATGTACCTCAAGGACATGCTTTTTACACCCTCTTCATCATTCATTTTTGGTATTGGTTTTAGACCCGATTTTCAGAGATATATAAGGGAAAAGTGCTTTATCCATTGAGTATGGCGTATCTACATTTGCAACCCCTGGTGCACAACACATCCATCATAAACATGGATGTAAATTGGTGCTCTCTAAAAGAGATAAAAATCAGCGGTCTATTTCTTAAATTGAATACCGTTTTTAGTGTTATATATATATATATATATATATGTTTGTTTCAGCATATTCATGATCTCCATGCTAGAAATTATGTCTATCTAGAAAATTAGATCCAAAACCCATCTCATAAATGAAACATGAAGAGGTGACACGTATATACATGTGAGCCTCGAATCTTGAGAGTAGCCACTTTGTGCATAAGCCAAAGGTTAGGACCGTTTCCAGCCTATCCCTCTTGGGATCTTGCTTAGGCGAAACCAGCACTGGGTTACGACCTTTTTATATGCAACTATTTCACATTAAGATGTTTGTATGGGGTGCACTTTTTATATTGTAGAAGGCACATTTTTAAAATTTGTTTTCAGATATTGTTTCAAAAATCTTACGTTGGCTTGAAAGTCAAATTTTATTTTAGATGTAAAATTTAAAATTTAAAAAAATTAGTGCAGTAAAAAATATATCTATAAATACTTATAAATCTTGAAAATAGATCATTTAGATAACTGTGATTATAAATCTTGAAAATAGATCATTTAGATAACTTGTATCGAATGCAATATTTTTAAGGCTTGAATATTTCTTTTTCCTTCGTATCCACACATCTTAAATGCATCTGATGATTAATGGGAAGATTTTCAAACATCAAAACACTCTAATTCTCTTCTAAGAGGACTTTCTTTAGTAGCTAAGTTTGTAACCTTCTATAAAAAATTTCATTCCGTTCTTTGTCAACTATAAAAGAGAGTGTCAGTGATTTAGTTGGGGTTGGTCTCTAATAGTGATGCGCATTGAATAAATCAATGGACATGAAGGGGTAATAATACCTATTTTTTGCAACGTACTGATTCTCATTTCCCTAAAAACGATCCCATTATCTGGAGGAGGCAGGTTTGCATTCCCGATCAATCCATCATCATCGAGCTCCTCTGGTCAAAATGGATGGCACAGATGCCCATGGCTTTCTTTCTCACTCCCACAACAATTATGTAATACCACCACAATACCAATATAGAAAAAGCCCATTAACGACGATCTCCATCCACTATTTCGGGTTACAAACGAAAAACAGGCCGAAAAGCAGGGACTGAATACTATTGGATCCAAAAAATGAATTCATAATTGGGTCTCGGATTTGGTTAGATCTATTACCATACGACTTTTTTTTTATTTTAACCATCATATGATTATGAGCTACTTTTAATTTTACCAATAATATTGTAAATATTGTCAATAATATTGTAAATATTATCAATATTGTGAGGATACAATCACTTAAAGCGTGTCCAAGGACACATGCTCTAGGTATAGGTTGGGTCCAACGAGACCCGGATCCAAAATTTAGACCCCTGAAGTTGGGTCTACACATCATGATCGCCCGGGGTCCATTGCCATGAAGTGATTAATGTTTGAGGTGTTCATTAATACATTTTTACGAATAAATGACAGGCCCCGAGACGAATAGGGGTAGTTGGGGCATTTGAAAAATGCTAATGGGTTGTTATGAAATTTTGATGGGGTTGGGGTGTTTAGGGGAAGCAAATGGCGAAAATCACATAAGATGATAACATGCAGGTGGGGTGGCGTGGTGTGTGTGATATAATAAGGTGGGGTGTCAGAGCTGGCGGCGGCTCAGATGTAGTGGTGGAGAAGAGAGGCTGGGCGGTCCATATGCTCATCACCATCAATCTCATATACATTTCCATCCCTATTCACAAAATGAAAATGGTGGTGAAGGTGAAGGTCAAGGTCAAGGCGATGGGATGGTGATGGTGAAGATGAAGTGGGGAGGAGAGGATGGGCCTAGGGGTGGGAGCCATTTGACAGAGAAAAGAATCCCCCGTCTTCTCCATGTCCCAATCCCCTCGCCCTTTTGCGCTTAGCCTCAACTCCATAACCTCCTTCTCATGTACATAGTACCCCCCCCCCCCCCCCCCACAAGATTCAGAGAGAGAGATAGAAAGAGAGGCTTACATAAATGGAGATTTCATTCTACTTCGGATTTGGGTTCTTGATGTTGTTTTGAGCTGCTCGTTTCTTTGTTTGGTTTGATTAGGGTTTTTCTTTGTGGTTGATGGCTGCTTGCGTTGTGGTGGGGAGTAATGGTGGGAGGCTGGGCAGCGGAGGGTCGAGCAGCAGCGGAGGAAGCCATTCTGGCAGCGACGGGGCAGCCCCACTGCCCAGAGAAGTGGTGACTGCCCACTACGGTGGTGGAGAGGAGGAAGCTCGGATAACAATGGAAGGGAGAATGATAGGTAGTAGCAATAGTAGGAAAAGAGGGGCTTCTGAGATGGATGATGGGCAGCAACTGCACATGAGCTCAGGGCTTGTACAGCACCCGAGGGTTTTCCGGCGTGCCGCTGATAATGACCTCGATATGGCCGCACAGCTTCACACTTACAGTAGTGGTAACAACAGGTGCTCCATTCTCCTTCACGAGACTCAAGGGGCCGCTCCTCCTCCTCCACCATCTTTCTTTTCCGACACCACCGCCACTACCTACTACAACCACTTACAGCAGCAGCCTGCGACAATCACAATGCCGGCTGTGCAACAACAACCACCGCCTCTGACGCTGTGTGGGTTTTCTGGCCTACCTCTCTTCACGTCCTCCTCCACCGAGAAAGGGAGAAGCAGCTTCGATGCCACCGCCGCACTTCCCCAACAACAACAACAAGCTTCATCGTCCTCCTCCGTGGTAGCCATGGATGAGGCGGAAACATGGATAGACGGCATAATAAAGGACCTCGTCCACACCTCCCCAGTCCCCATACCCCAACTCATCCAAAATGTCCGAGAGGTCATCTTCCCTTGCAACCCCCAACTAGCTGCTTTGCTCGAATTTCGGCTCCGCTCCCTCCCTGAATCCTCCCCAGCTGATAAGCAGCAGCTGCCCTTGGGGTCTGGCCTCAAGCTCCGAATAGAACAGCAGCCAGGGACAGGGAGCATCGAGAGCTTTCCGACTGCACTTCCATGGTTATCTTCTTCAACATCGTCATCTAAAGAGCATCAGGGCATGGCCGAGACCATGATGATGAACCAGCAGTATGTGAACTGGGCCTTGGACGAGAGGCCTCCATTGCCACCCACGCCCCCACTTCTTTCACTGAACCAGTCAAGCAGTAATAATACCTCTCCACCAAAAAAGTCAGCCGCTCAGACGGAAGAGGAGAGCCATCACCAACAAAAACTGAGGGAGAGGGAGCGCAGGAAGCAGCAGGAGCAGCAGGCCAAGAGGGACTCTGAGGGCCTCCATCTGTTGACGTTGCTCCTCCAGTGCGCAGAGGCTGTCTCCGCAGAGAGGCTCGATGAGGCAAGTGCCATGCTCGCCGAGATCGCGGAGCTCTCGACGCCCTTTGGCTCATCGGCCCAGCGTGTTGCCGCCTACTTTTCCGAGGCCATGTCTGCACGCCTCGTGAGTGCCTGCCTCGGAGTCTATTCGCCTCTGCCTGCTTGTGTCCAGAACCAGAAGATTGTGTCGGCCTTCCAGGTCTTCAACGGGATAAGCCCCTTTGTGAAGTTCTCCCACTTCACGGCGAACCAGATGATACAGGAGGCGTTTGAGAGGGAGGAGAGGGTGCACATCATCGATCTGGACATTATGCAGGGCTTGCAGTGGCCTGGTCTCTTTCACATACTGGCATCCAGGCCAGGCGGTCCTCCGAGGGTGAGGGTGACGGGGTTGGGGTCCTCGGAGGAGGCGCTCGAAGCCACTGGCAGGAGACTGGCCGAGTTCGCCGAGACGCTCGGTCTGCCCTTCGAGTGGTGCGGCTTGGCTGAGAAAGCCGGGAATGTGGGAGTTGAGAGGCTCGGCATCAGGAAGAGGGAGGCCGTGGCTGTCCACTGCCTCCACCACTCCCTCTACGACGTCACCGCCTCAGATGCCAACACCCTCGCCCTAATTCAAAGGTAACTTCTCTCCCTGCTGCTATCGCTTCATTGCACTGCACTGCACTGCACCGCACAGCTACCGTTCATCTCTTTTATCACCACCACTCTCTCTATTTCTTCATACAAATACATCCTACTATATTATGAATCTCTCTTTTCCTACTGCTGTTATTTTTTTTTTTTTTCTTGTAGAACCATTGCCAAAGTCCATTCTTTATTTACAAATACCTGTGTCATGCATTTTCTCCCTCACATTCTTCTAAACCTGTGCAGCGCTCTCTCTCTCCATTAGAACTATGCATTTTCTGTCTCTTTTCGTGCCTTTTCTCCCTCCTCCGGGCTTCTGTGCACCTCTCCTAATTCTCTTTTTGCGTCCTTTTTTTCTTTTTTTTCCTGGGTTCTTTCAACTTTTTTTTTCTTATTCCCATCTATGGCTAAAGCTTTTGCTGCTACGTGCCTTGCACACAATAACATTAACTTACAGAGGAAGAAGATTCAAAAACAAAATCTTTTTCACTAATTCGCTGGGATATGAAATTCCATGTAAAAGGAATTAATATTTTCTGGGAAATGAATCGCCAGAATAAGTATTGTACGTAAGTTGCAGTTGCAGTTGCAGAAGGCAGCGCAGAGAGGCTGATTCCTGGATATTTTGGGTATCACGTCTTTGCTTTCTTTTGACCTCTGCGTAGTTTTGTTAACCTTAGGTTATTGACTTGAAAATATTTAATATTCACGATATCCCAAGTAAGTGCCTTTTTACCTTTTCAATAATCTTTGAATCAGAAAATCACCTTTCATGAAAAGTGCTACTGTTACTGTCACCCCTCAGAAAGCGTCCTGTTTCCCTTCCCTTGTGTTTTTATAATAATAATAGTAATTTGCATTTCAACCAACTGAGGGTCTAAATGTAAAATAAAACGTTCCAGGTGGGATTGGCGGAAAGAACAATGACATTATGAATCATTTTAACCAATGGATAGTAGAATGTGTTCATTCAAAAAAATGAATTCTTCACTTTCGATGATTGTGAAGCCTAAGTTGACTTTCACTTACTGGAAACCATTGGGGGACGGCATTTACGAAACCATTTACCTTTGCTGCATCACAATTAATCTTGACCTGCAATTGTGTGGTTGCATTTATTTCATTGTCGAACTCTTTGACACACCAAAGCTATTAGATTGAACTCTTTTACACACCCAGCTATTAGATTTCACATGGGATAGTTCAACTCTTATACGCACCCAGGCTATCAGATTTCAGATCAGATGGTCGTAAGGAATTGTGACCTCTTTTTACCCAAGCTAAATGGTCTCATTGTATACAATCTCTTGTTTTTTTGCCCTCTGCAATCTTGTTTTTACTTGGTGTTTCCTCTCTGCAAGGGATGGATGGATTCACATCCAAAACCTCACCACCGGAGTGAACCTTTATCTTCAAAAAATTGAGTCTTAGTCTGTGGGTGGTTCATTCTTTTTGTACACTTCCCATCTCAATACAGTTAAAAAAAATAAAAAAAAAGTCTTCAGCCTTGAAAGTGGTTCATCTTGTACTTCATTTCAATTGTTCAAAGAACAACAGATCCACCTTATTTCTGGAGTTCCAAATTCTTGGATAAATTTGAGGAAGAAATGAAATTGCAACAATTTAACATGTATTTTGAGTAACTCACCAAAGATTTTCATTTCTTAAATGATATATGCAACATGATCAGTTGGATTTGTTTAAATGTTAACAGTCATGAGATGCATCATTCCTGATCTCAACGCCTCCATGTTTTGGTGTGGTTGGTGCGTTACAGGCTTTCTCCCAAGGTGGTGACCATGGTGGAGCAGGACCTAAGCCATGGGGACTCATTCTTGGCCAGATTCGTGGAGGCCATTCACTACTACTCTGCCCTATTCGACTCGCTGGGTGCGAGCCAAGCGGAGGACAGCCATGAGAGGCATGTGGTGGAGCAGCAGCTGCTGTCCAGGGAGATCAAGAACCTACTGGCGGTGGGGGGCCCATCCCGTTCTGGGGAGATAAAGTTTGAGAATTGGAGGGAGAAGCTGCGGCAGTGTGGCTTCAAAGCCATGTCCTTGGCCGGCAATGCTGCAACGCAGGCTACCCTCCTCTTGGGCATGTTCCCCAGTGATGGTTACACGCTGGTGGAGGACAAGGGAACCCTCAAGCTCGGCTGGAAGGACCTCTGCCTCCTCACCGCCTCTGCATGGCGGCCACCATCACCCATCAATCACTAGCCAACCTGCTTGGTGCTTCTCGACTCCACCACTACATTGAGCATTTCTTTGCTCCGTGTACTGCTACAACTACTACACGAACTTTCTCTCTCTATCCCCGGCCCTCTGATGGAACGTGAAAGTGAGAAGGGGGCTTGGGGATGGGTGGTCTGTTCTCATTGTTAGGATCTACTCTCTTTGTTTTAGTGTGTGTATAGGAGCAGCATGAATGGTTTATGTTGGAATAGCATTTGCATTTTTAGCTACCTTTCTTCTTCTTTTTTTTCTTTTTTTGTTCTTTTTTTTTTTTTGGCTTTTCTTGCACTTGGTATATGTTATAGCCCTTAGCCGAATCCAAATGGTTGGGATAAAGCTCGGATGATATTAATAATGCGTATGTATCTGTGCTGAATCGGAATTGGTGGGGGGTCGGGGCAATTTAGACCACGAAGCTCGATTTCATCATATACTTTTTTTCTTAAGTTTTTTTTGTTTTATTTTCAATAGATTTTGTAAATCAATCTAGTCATGAATCAACAACTCCTATTAGGTCAATCAGGAGTCGTCCATGTGAAATTCGCTTGAGGCTATTTTATACTAGAAAATGTAAGACATCAACCTTATACTGTTGAAGTAAGGGTACTTCTAAGATATCAACCTTATATTCTAGAAGTCCGTTACTTCAAAAAAATCTATGAAAAAGAGTTGTTAGGACTCTATAAATTCTTAATTGATCATCTTGAAACTTCAAGATGTATAGTTTTGTGATATATGAATATGGAGAAAAAAGGACTAGAAGTTCTGAAAATAGAGCATTTTATCAAAATCTCCAATGTTCATAGTTCTATTCGATTGCACCATATTTTAATCTTTGAGTTTCATAACTAGGGTGAGTAAATTTTCTAGGTATCCTAGAAATTTGTGGCAATGTAGCTACATGTTCCAATAGGATTTGGAGTGTGCCTTATTTTGATTTTTTAGCGTTGTTGCCTTATGTTTGGAAAATTAACCATAGAGAGCAACCCCCTGATTTATTAAACTCTTGCACTATGTGAAACCTAATTTTAGGGCTGATACTAGACCTAGATAGGCCTGCTGGCTTTTGGATTGGGTTCGAGCATATAAGAAAGCATGGATTGGGATGATCCGGGCTTGGAAGGCTTGAGAAGTTTTTGGGTTCTGCCTACGCTAGCCCTTTAAATATAGTATGTTAATATATATATATATATATATATATATCATACTATAAAATATTGTGTAATTGTACTCAATAAATTTTGGATATTTATCTTGATGATATGGTAGTCTTGTTTGAGAAGGTTAGAGCCAACAAATGGCATTGACCAAAATCTAGCATATTCTCGTAGCATGTGCATAAACTGTCGCAATACATAGAAAACCGCTCTTCCGGGAATCTACTAATAACATGTATGCACATATACCAATAAATGAACACATGCACCATGTGTGTTTGTATGTCATCTAGGGGGTACACTTGAAAGCCACTGATACTTGGGGATTCAGAATCACTTATTGGTTTGACTTTGATAAGTTATATCATGAACCCTTGATTATGCACTGTGGGCTATACGTTTATTGGGTTATACCGAGAATGTGGCTTTGGATTTCAGATCTAGTCAAGTGCAGTGCTCCGATTCCTAAATCAGCTTCATAGGATCCTAATTTCCGTTGTAGATGTGTTTTAAATCGTGTTAAAATGATGTATTTTGTTGAAAATTATTAAAATAATTTTTATGGATTTTTTGGAATTCTTTTGAATTTTTCTAAGTAAGAAATGTAGTTTTCATATTGTTTTCATTAAATAATAATTAAGGACAATCCCCAAGAACCTCACAGGACACCCAATGGCTAATGGGTGTCCTTGTGGAGGCCTAGGGGGTCCCACGCTAGCCCCACATGGATGGTGATGTCGACCTTATATGGGACCCCCCATGTTAGTTTGTGATTTGTTCATTTTAAGTGAAGAGCATTAAACTGTGTTATTTTATAGAATTTTATGTTAAATGTGAAAAGCAAGTGGTTTGTACACATATGTGAGTGAGCATTTTAAAAGGGGCATATGCTTTGATATTTCAATTTAAATCCTAAAGATATTTAGTAACTATGCGCTTTAACAACTAGCTTATGTGGCAGGATTTGATTAGCCCTATATAATCTTGTAAAATGGATGAAAGTTTTCAAATTTTATTTTTGTTGGAATTTTGACAAACCGCAAGGGTATGCCTTCCAACTTAGTTTTAAATTCAATTGAACGAAATGATCATGAATATTTTGAAACTAAAAAATTTGGAGTGAATTATGGTTATTAAAAAATGAGGATAATAGTATCTGGATCCATACTTAAGATTTTTATGGCATAATGATGGATGGTGCTAGGATCAAACTTCTCCTTATAGCCATAAGATGATAACATGAACGTCCTAGATTCATCTATCTAGAAGCATCTACGGACTTGATGGCTAGAAACTTATAAATACCCCCTTAAGCATTCATTCTCACACACTCTATGAGTTCAGAGTCTCTCTAAACTGGCATTTGAGTGGCATGCCTAGGCTCACCTCTCTCTTTCTCTCTCTTCCAAATTGAGCGTTGAATTGATGTAAGAGAAAGCTTCATTAAAGCTCAATTGAACAATCCAGTGATGGAGATCTCAAGCACAAACCAAAGATATTGATGATCTAGTTTACAAGGCCTTCATCAACTGAGTACGGTCTTATCGACTTCCTTTGATTTTAGTCCCTTTTTTTTTTCAGTAAATTCTCATACCTTCATTATTTTGATTCTTGATCATTGAATTCCTTGATCTATTTGATCCATATAGTTGAAGACATCATCCATGCACAAATTAATTTAGTTTCTATGAGTTTTTCCTTGAGAGTTTTTATTTCTCTTAGTTTTTTCACAACCAAATAAATCAATTAGATCATGGTTTTGATGGATGAAATTGTTGTTTTCATAAGAGGAGATCATGCCGAATTTATGTGGCACGATTTGTGGACTCATTGAATTGATTTTGTGATTTGTCTGCCATGATTCTCTCAAGAGTTTCCACTTGGTTTTGATCATTTGATCTCCGCAAATCCTTCCATGTTTATAGTGCATATCATTGAATGTTTGGCTTCCCACTTTTGATATGATGAATTTGGCCGAATTTTGAGTTATGCCTAACGTCATAAATCGGTCACCTGAGAGCTCCAATCGGCTTCGCATGGACATGTTGCATTATTCACTTGAGCATATGTATTGTAATACTGAAGGTCATGTTTTATTAAGTTTTGTAAAGTCAATTAATGTATAATTTTTTATTGTAAATTTGAATGGTGCAGAATTTTCAAAAACCCCTCATACTTGTCTTGTTTGATGACCTCCATATGCAGTTTGTTTTATTGATGAATAAGAGACCCTAATTGAGTTGTATTCTCTTATTTTTTAGTGTATAAAAAGAACTTTGTTCACTCTAATTGCAGTTATGTTGCTGTAATTTGAAGTTGTAAGCTCATTTTGTGTATTATATGATATTAAGGTTGTATTGTTTTGTATTTTGACATAGTTCAAGTCCAAGACTGTAATTTGGTTTCTATGCACTCTCATGTGGTTTGGCAAACCTTTATGAAAGGCATCTACCCTATGCTACAAAAATAAGGTGCACCTCATTTATTTATCATTAAAAGTTGTTTCAACATCGGAAAACCCTCTAATTGTTTATTTTGACATCGGGATGTATGTATATTATAAAACAAAAGGATTTCAAGACATATATATATATATATATATATATATATATATATATATTATTATTATTATTATTAGGTAATCCAGTAGAGATGGTGTCCCCTCACCCGCTGAAAAAGAACTGAAGAGGTCAAGTTGGGATGTCTCACCACCCTCACCACATGACACTTGTGGCCATCCCTAAGTCAGCAATTTTCAATATTTTTAAGTATCTATAGATCCACTCAACGTATGCTATTTTTGCAGCTTAAAAACTTCAAATTAGCAGTCGAAATAGATTTTCAAAAGTTAGCACTAAAACCACATCTAATAACATGGTTTGGAGGTAGCCTTGCGTAAATTGTTTTTAGTGTTTGGGCCTTTTATAAACTGCACACTGTCTACAAGTGCACTATTTTAATACAAATGTACGATCATAATTAATCTCTGGCAATGGGCATACATGCTAAAAGCAAAAGTAATTGCAAAAAATAAAAGGGCCAAAATACTTCTAAAAATTGAAGGAGTATTTAATTTTTTATTTTATTTTAGCAAAATTATCTATTTTTATTAGCAGGAGTGACATGTTAAGAAATGCACACACTGCAATTTTGAGCTAAATATAACTTATAAAAATTCAAATAGTCTATATGCTTTCATTGATCTTGTCAAGTATCAACAAATAGTTTAAAAAAATCGCTATAATTTATCAAAAATCTAGTTTTTTAGGTTTCTTAAAAAAATAGTGTCAATTGTATTATGGTTGTTTATTATTGTATCAAAAGAATGTAAATACTGAGAATCTATCTTACGTTGAGTGTTTGTTATCTATTAAGTTCATTTTATAGTCAAAATAAAATTTAAAATGCAATTCATGATAATAAAATGAATATCTCTAAAATTTTTTTTTAATTATTAACTTAAATTTTTTTACTTTTAAAGAAAATTATATGGAACAAAATTAGTTGAATAGGCTGTTAGTAGAGAGAGAGAGAGAAAGAGAAAGAAATTTAGTAGAATTGATTGTTTGTAGAGAAATTATATGGAAGTGCAAATACATTTTCTTTGGGGGTAGAGCAGCCCTCATTGTTGAAAATATGGCCTATCAAGGCCTAAATTCCAGTAGTCTCTCATTCAGTAGGAGCGATTGAGATATTGAAATTGGAGTCTTGCGAAATGGAGCTCAGATATTTGTACCTCGAGTACGCATGAGGCATCGAAAGTTCACATGTTGAGAAAGCAATTTCTCAATCAGGTGTGAGGATCACCTCCTAATCAAGATTTTACAAGTTAGCCTCATGTTTAGCTGCAATCAACCAGGGCTTGGAGAATCCAAATGAGAAAAATAGAACCTGAGTACTTAATTGAGTATTCGCCCTGTATGGAATGGTCAAGACTTATAGGACATAAGTCTGTATCCTGACACGAGACCATTGCATGGCATGTGCATTTTCATTTCGTACAGGAAGCCACTCTTCCAAATGCATTATCCGAGTTTGAAAGAGCCAATGCATATGTGCTTTGAGAGCACCCC